GTGTACATTATATTGTATAATGTACATTCAGTACAAAAATAATGTACATTCAGTATATTAAAAATGTACTTTTTGTTATGGTCCGCGTAACATTGTGTGGACCATGGTCTATACAATAATTTGCCGCTAAAAAGCACGCAAACAGAATAGGCCTAAAATCTCAAAACTTGCCCCGTCCTTTTTGGCATTTTTGCGGGGCAAAACAGGCTAACTTGACATGCTAAATCTGTTTTGACAACTCTACTAGGCGAGCTAATTAAGTTAAGCTAATTTTATAGATCGCATTTTTTCAACTTATACACTTGGAAGTTCATCGAAGTTGGAACGAGAATACTCTCCTCTGAAAGGAAGGATGAGTATTGGGGCATACACTAACAGTACCCCACAGGAAGGAGATGAGTCTCCTTTCGGTGGAGCTTTGGTTATTCCATTTGAAATATATATAAGCGCAGCACACAATGATGTTGGAGCTAACGTTTGTAACACAAATGATCTGTAACGCAGTTCGGGCAAACAACCCTAATCTGCGAGGCACTTCTCAATTTGAGAACTTGCCTAAATCCACTAAAAGCTCAATATTTAAAGTACACTGTTTGGAACCTGAGATTACACAATAGAATGATCTTTCCTACCAAACTATTGAAACCTAAACACATGTACTACTTTCTAGGAGAATTTAGTATCCTATTCTCAAAGACTCTCGTACCTCACAAGATTAATGTTGAATGCTTGAATTCTACAATAAAGGACAACCCCTATTTATAGTAGCTACTCCTAACAGATTCGTGAATAACAAAGCTATTCCTAATCAGACTAGAACTAGAAAAACTTCAGTAACAATTCACTTTAGAACTAGTATTCTTCAATAACTACTCCTCTTAGGCTTGGTATTCTTTTATAGAGTTGGAATTCTTTCTGCACATAACTTTGAAAAAACACTTTGAGTCAACAATCTCCCCCTTTGTCAAATTTTTGGCAAAAACCTTGATCTCATGGTGGCTTGATTTATGATTCTTCTCCCCCTTAATTGATTCCCTGTATTTCTTTTATTTGGTGAGTGTTGTCTTGAATCTTTGTTTGTGACTTCATCACTGTTTATGAGCTAAACGAGCTGCCATCCTATAACTTAGAATATCATCTATTCAAGTTACATAAACAGGGAGCACACTGGCTTCTTTTCTTGATTTCTTGATAGTTATCCGTAAGTGGAGGATTTTTTTAAAATTTTTTTTTTTATTGCTAAAAGCTTCCTGAGGCTGTTGTATTTTGCATGGCTTTTATCCAGAATTTATCTCTTAGTGCTTCATCAATATTCTTTGTTTCAAACCTGGAGGTGAAACAATAATCTTTTTCGTACACTTTGAGGTAATCTTGTTTCTTTCATCTAGTCTTTATTCCTTGATTGAGATCTCCCATGATATTTTCCAATGGATTATTTTTCCGAATTATTAAGATAGTAGAATGACTTTTATCCTTTTCTTCATTTGGTTCTGTTTCTGTTCTGCAATTCTGCACATCATTAGTCAGGGGTGTTGGAACAGTTGTTTCAACAACTCTTGGACTTTCGTCATCATCAGTGGTTATTGCTGGAGTTAATCATCAATGATCACACTGTTTGATGAATAGCCTGGGGATGCTCCTGGTCATGAAAATTTATGTGTCCCATACGTTGGTGCCATAATTGTGTTTGACTAATGGTTGTCTGTAAACAAGATAGATCACTATCCCATGTGTAGCATTTGTTTGTAGACCTTTTTCCCATCATGACACACTCGAGATTCTGATTAAACACATTGCAACTGTCTCTAGAGAACTCTACTTTGAGTTCATCTTCACAAAGCTGACTTATGCTGATTAGATTTGCTTTTAGGCTTTCTACTAAAAGGACTTTTGGCAACTTAGGCAGCCCATGGACATTCAAGGTACCATTTGCAATAATTTGTCCTTTTCCACCGTCTCCAAAAGTGACATGCCCTTCATTTTTGTATTGGATGTTCTCAAGATTTTCTGAATTTCCAGTCATATGTCTTGAACATCCGCTATCAAAGTACCAAATGTTTTGCTTGTTGCTAGTTCTTGTGGTATATGCAACAACCTATGTTTGATCTTTTCTTACCCAGATTTTCTTATTCTGATTTCGTGCCTGTCCAGTCCAGCTCCTGTTGTTATGTCTATATTGGAGATCATACTGTCTTTTAAAACAATATGCCTTGATGTGCCCGAGTCTGTGACAGTAGTAGCATCTGATTCTTCTTCGATGTTGGAAGTGATGTTGTGACACCTCAGAATTTTCAGTTTGTTGGTTTTCACTGGAGGCTAATATTGGAGTCCTAGGCCTTTCAGTTAGAGCCTTGATTTCTTGTAGTAGTTTTGCCTCTTTGTTCTTTGAGTCTAATAATTCATTTTGTGCTTCTTTGAACCGTTTTTCTCCTCTATCTTTTTCATCTTTTAGAAACTGATTTTCTTCCATGAGTTCTAGATTTACTTTGATGATTTGTTCCCATTTGACATGTAGTTGAGTATATGCCTCTAGTAATTCTTGTATATCTTCTTCGTTGTTATTTTCATGATTTGCGGTGAATGCTACAAAATTGGTGTTGGTGTCTTCTTCACTGTCTGAGTCATCACTTAATGTTGTTATCTATGTCTTGTTCTTTCTTTTAAGGTATGTAGCACATTCTGACTGGATGTGTCCAAACCCTTTGCACTCATAGCACTGTATTCCTTCTGTATTTGAACTGTCTCTTCTTTTTGAAATAGATTGATTTTGTCCAGTTGGGAAGTCCCCTTGATTGATTGAAGCACTTTTGTTTCTGAATTTGTTGAATTTTTTGAGAACTCTGTTGAAATTCTTTGTTAGGAGAGCAATTGATTGTTCCATGGTTTCAGTATCAATTTCTGGACTTTCTTTCTGCTTTGATTGGAACGCAATTCCTTTGTCATTATTTTTCCCATTTTGCAGTATCTCAAGCTCATATGTTTGAAGATTTCCCATTAGATCACTGAGTTTGTAGGTGTTTAGATCTTTGTTTTCTTGGATGGCTGTAACCTTTATCATAAATCTCTCAGGTAGGGAACGTAAGACCTTTTTGACGAGCCTAGGTTCAGGAATAGGTTCGCCTAGGTTAAACGCATCTCCAGAGATGCTTAAAACTCTGGCACTAAATTGTGTGATATTTTCTTCTTCTTCCATTTTCAAGTTTTCAAACTCTGTCTGTATCATTTGTAATTTGGATTGTCTTACAGACGTGTTCCCTTCATGATGATCACATAATATACTCCACGCTGTTTTGGCTATGCGAGTGGTGGCAATCAGTTTGAAGGTATCTTCGCTCACAGCTCCATAGATTGCATTCATTGCCTTCGAGTTGAAGTTATATTCTATTTTCTTCTTTACTCCAGTCAATTTTAGGTTTTCTATTTTCTTTATCATCAACTGGAGTTTTCCATTCGTTTTCTATAGCATTCCAGACACCTTCTCCTTGTGCCAAGATGTATATCTGCATTATGGCTTTCCAGTAGGAAAAATTCGTGCCAATGAGGGTAGGTGGCCTAGTGCTTGACAGTCCTTCTCTTGGAAACTCCATTAGGATCCTGCTAATAACTTAAGCAGTTTGGCTCTGATACCAATTGAAATATATATAAGCGCAGCACACAATGATGTTGGAGCTAACGTTTGTAACACAAATGATCTGTAACGCAGTTCGGTCAAACAACCCTAATCTACGAGGCACTTCTCAATTTGAGAACTTGCCTAAATCCACTAAAAGCTCAATATTTAAAGTACACCGTTTGGAACCTGAGATTACACAATAGAATGATCTTTCCTACCAAACTATTGAAACCTAAACACATGTACTACTTTCTAGGGAAATTTAGTATCCTATTCTCAAAGACTCTCGTACCTCACAAGATTAATGTTGAATACTTGAATTCTACAATAAAGGACAACCCCTATTTATAGTAGCTACTCCTAACAGATTCGTGAATAACAAAGTTATTCCTAATCAGACTAGAACTAGAAAAACTTCAATAACAATTCACTTTAGAACTAGTATTCTTCAATAACTACTCTTCTTAGGCTTGATATTCTTTTATAGAGTTGGAATTCTTTCTGCACATAACTTTGACAAAACACTTTGAGTCAACACTTGTGAAAATAATTTCACATTCCGATCGAATTGAGCCATTCCACTGTTAGGTGGAATTTCAAAAGGAGAGGATTAATCTCTCCTTTTGTTGGAATTAATTTGCATTGCCTCTTCTTGATTTAATACCTTTCGAGTGTACCATTCTGAAATGCGTTAATCCTAATCCGTAGGAATTAATTTATATTAATTCCAATTTATTCTTTGAGAATATAATTAATATTCATAACCACAATGTTAAATTCCAAGTTAAGTTGTCTGTTAGGGAGGTTTAAAAATTGATTTTAAATCAGTGTTAATGCCAGCAGTTCATTTTGATACACAACTACAAAATTATTTTCTTTCTTGAAAATTCCTCTCCCTAAACTTATGCGCTCTTCCTCCTAAAGAAGAACTTGTATTCTTTCTTGTTCTTGTTTGTCGATTTTAATTGTGATTGAGTGCTCAACTTTTAAATTGTAAATTCGTTTTTATCCTTGGAAGCTTGGCTACAACACTCCGAGAACCTTGAGAGGTAACAAATAAAGTTTTAAGGAAAGTGTGATCAGTGTCACCCAACTCAAATTTGATCCTGTAACCTTCAGTTTTTTATGTTTTTTTTTCAAGATTTTTTTTTTAAATATTCCAACACCATGCTAGAACACAAGTATAGGGGATAGCGTAATTCGGATTATTCAAACAAACACTAGAAATCTGAACCGAATTTTGAATTTCCGGTGAATCCAAATAGGTATCGATATTGATATTTTTAGTTATGGTATATTTGGTTTGAATATCGAGTGTTAAAATTCTATCCATACTTGACCTGAAACCCGAAAATTTATTATAAATATAAAAATATAAGTTATATATTGACTAGTAAATGTATTTCATAATTAATATTATATTAATTTTAAAATGCACTTAGTTTTTTTTTTTTTTTTGAAAATAACAAAATGCTCTTAGTTAATTATTAGTATTTTTTTCTTATTTTTAGTTTGATAGTATACAAAGAACTATAAATACGTACACCATTAATAAAATTATTTTAAGTAGTTACTAACATATTTTTTGTCATTTTAATTAAAAATGATTGCACTTCAATTTTACGGGCATCAATTCTATTATTCTATACCTCATATTTTTTCCATGGTAGGAATCGAACCATGCACCCTACCACTAAGTAAAGTAAAACTATAAACTTATTAGTCAATCAGTTGAAATGTGCATTTAAGGTTTTTTTTGGTCATTATATGAAAAAAAAAAAGTTTAGTGTTATTTCATCCGCTCTCTTACCGCTAATGTTGTTATTTTTTTCAGTGAACACGATTCATTGTCAACAAACATAGGTAAGACCATCCTCTAGGACTGAGGATGGTAATTTAGCGTGAAAAGCGACATCGAATTTTATTTTCTTTTTTCTAATAGTATTTGAAAGGTTGCAAGTTTTTTAATCTTTCAAATACTATTTACATGCAGCTTTTGTGGACTTTTTAAGCATTTTTGTATTTTATTAGTAATAGATTAAAATATTATTATTATTTTAATATATTTTAAGAGTGGTTCGAAATTGTAAACATGTAAAAGTAATAATAATAAATTGAAAATATGATATATAAATATGATTCACTTTTGTAAATAGATTAGAATTGCAAAGGCAAATATATCCTAGCTAATATCTACCCAAAGAATGTTGACATCATTGTTTTCGATGTATGATGGACCATGACGTCAATATTATCAAAATTTAAAATTTCCTACCCAATATTTTCAAACATTTTTCTAATATACGATCAACGTACATGGTAGGATAGAAAAACAAAAAACAATAAAATCAAAATGCCGAAATGCTGAAAATTATTTTGATAACCATGACACTGGATTCCATGTTTAGTTGAACGCAAAAGAAATCTTATATTTTGAGTGATCATTTTATGGTACAATTATATGTCGGGTTCACTTCTAATTTGAATTAAGTAAAAGTGGATTTGAGTTCTTCTGAATGAAACTAAGAAATCACATTGTACTGTTAAAATAGATAATGAAGGAATGATAAATTAATTGTCAAAGTATACACATAAAGTTAAAAGAAAAATTGGAGATAAGAAGGCTGGGAAAAGCATGTCCCACATTGGATAAGATATGTAGATTGCGCTAGTATATTATATATATAATTTCTTTTTTGGAAGATTTTGAATTGTATATCATAAATGATATATCTTGCATAAAAGGGAGGTGCAAATCAAATGGTGACTGACGGTAATAATGTTACCGGAAATATAATATTAGAATGACGTTCCGTGAAAGAGAGAGTAACAATAGTTGTATTGCCTTTGTCTCAGTATAGAAAGTACAGTGTGTCCCCTGCTCAGCTGAGGGACGTTCTATTTATGCTAGGTCCTAACGGTAACAACATGAAGAGACATCCTTGGGGAGCTGAGCTAACGGCAAGAATATGAAGAGTCATGAATGAGGCGTTGAGGCTTTAACTCTCTCTCATCAATGGTGGCATCAAAGGTGGCTTCAATGACAATAAATGTGACACCTGTTGGATTCTAACCGTTGGAGTTCTGCCCGTTGGGTTCCCATGTGATGCTGAGTCAGATGCTCATTTGTGATCCGGGTCGGGTGCCAGCCCTATTATCCTGTCACCAGTCCCCCCTACTCCTGAGTCAACGGATGTGTTTGAGTTGACTTGGGAGTAAGGATGAATCTATCTTGATCCTGTGTAGAATCCTGCTTGATTAAGGATATGTGATTTTATTTGATCCTGTGTATGTGATTTTATATTTTTTTTCCTTTTTTTTTAATCACATATGATTTTGTTTTATTTCTTATGCTAGCTGAGATAGGCTTTGGCCTAGGTTGGCAGAGGTGCGTGCCTCCGGCCGAGGCGTCGCCTCGACCGATCGTGGCCGAGGCGTCGCCTCGACCGATCGTGGCCGAGGCGTCGCCTCGACTGATCGTGGCCGAGGCGTCGCCTCGACCGATCGTGGCCGAGGTGTGCGCCTCGACCAATCGTGGCCGAGGCGTCGCCTCGACTGATCGTGGCCGAGGCGTCGCCTCGACCGATCGTGGCCGAGGCGTGCGCCTCGGCTGACCGTGGCCGAGGCGTCGCCTCGGCCGATCGTGGCCGAGGCGTCGCCTCGACCGATCGTGGCCGAGGCGTCGCCTCGACCGATAGTGGCCGAGGCGTGCGCCTCGACCGATCGTGGCCGAGGCGTGCGCCTCGGCGGATCGTGGCCGAGGCGCACGAGGCGTGGCCTCGACCGATCGTGGCCAAGGCGTCGCCTCGACCGATCGTGGCCGAGGCGTCGCCTCGACCACTCGTGGCGGAGGCGTGCGCTTCGGCTGATCGCGGCCGAGGCGTAGCCTCGACCGATCGTGGCTGGGGCAGGCTCCGGCCTTTTTCTTTTATTTATTTATTTATTTATTTTTTATTTTTTTTTTTTGCCGAGACGGACTTCGGCGTTGGCCGAGGCGGGCGCCTCGGCCGAACAGTGGCCGAGGCGTGCGCCTCGGCCAACCATTGGCCGAGGCGGGCGCCTCGGCCAACTCTTGGCCGAGTCGGGCGCCTCGGCCAACACTTGGCCGAGGCGTGCGCCTTGGCCAACCCTTGTCAGACTGTGGCCGAGGCGGGCTCCTCGGCCGAACTTTGGCCGAGGCTTGCCTCGGCCATCCGAGTCGAGTCACGTCTTGGCCAACCTGTGGCCGGGGCGTGCGACTCGTTCCTTTTTTTTTTTTTTTTTTGGAAACAACATGGGCGGACCACAAGCACGAGATATTATTCCAAAAGATTTCAGAATGCAAAGCGGGCGAACCGCGATTACCAAACACTAGTCCCAAACGACTACTAGAATATTAAGGAAAATACTTAATCAAATGTTCCTAGCTCCATACCCGATCGATTATCTTTACAGATGGTGTGGACTTATGGATCATTTCTGCCAATCGTTTTGCATGCTTTAACGTAACAACTGCGGGCCGCTCGCTGGTCTCCTCTGACGACCCCTATCCCGCTCGGAGTGGGGAACTTCATACACAAGTGTTCCACCGACACTATGGCCTTGAGGTTCTCCAGTGCCGGTCTCCCCAATATGATGTTGTGCGCACATGTGAGTCTTACCACGATGAATTCCAAGTCTAGTTTGCGAATGTTAGGGCTCGTGCCTATCTCCACTGGTAAGACCACTGACCCCTCCGTCTCCACTGAATCACCCGTAAATCCAGAGAGTGGGGTACGTACTTCTTTGAGCTGGTTCCTAAGTATCCCTAACTTGGTGAAGGCATCGTAATACATCACATTGACTGAGCTTCCCGTGTCGACTAAGATGCGGCGGACAATGACATCGTTGACGTTCATCTCAATTACCAGGGCGTCACGATGGGGTAACGGGCCCTCTGGGAGGTCATCATCAGAGAAGGTGATGGCCTCCTGTCTCTGTTTCTTTTCTCTGGGAAGACTCGCCACTTCTCCCACGTATAGCCGCTGGCTCCACTTCTTTCTTTCCGCGGGCGTGTCGCCCCCTGCAGGTCCACCATAGATAAAGTGTATGGTGTGCTTCTTTTGTCGTCTAGGCCCCACCTCGGTTTCTTTCTCGCTATCACTCTGCTCAGATATTTGGTCGTGTTCTCTTTTTTTCAAGGTGGACGGCTCGGTGACATCCTCATTTCTCCAGACATTTTTTGGTGGATTTTTTGATGGATCGCGCTGCGGCTGCTGCTGCTGCTTGGATCGCTTGACAAAATGCCGAAAGTAGCCCTGCTGGATGAGTTCTTCTATTTGTCTCTTCAAAACGTGACACTCATCTGTATCGTGGCCGGCATGACTATGAAACCTGCAGTACTTTGTTTGGTCTACCTTTGGGAAACCTTCATGCACTCCTCGGGGAATTCTACCATTCCCATCTCCTCAGCTTGCTGTAGAATGACACTGACGGGATGGGTAAGAGGAGTTAGATTACGCAAGGGGAGCAGGCGAGGTCGTTCGTGGTCTCGGCCTTTCCCTGCGGTCGGGTGGTTCGAGGGTGGTGCCTGGCTGGGCAGACCCACTTTCCTAGGCTTCCCACCTTTCCTTCCATCCTCTTCGTCCTTCTTCTTTCTGTCGACGTCCTCTGCTTCGGCATAGCGGCTAGCCGTCCTTATCAGATCTTCGTAAGAGCGGGGGTGGTGGGCGTTCAACTGCTTGTGGAAATACCCTGATCTTAAGGCATGGATAAATATCGGGATCGCCGCCTTGGAGTCGAAGTCGTAGACATTATTGACTTCCTTTTTCCATTTTATCAGGAAGTCTTTGAGGCTCTCGCCTCTATCTTGCTTCACTACACAGAGGTGAGAGAAGGGTTTCTTACGCTGTATGCTACCGGAGAAGTATTTCAGGAAGCTCTTGGACAACTCCCCAAAGTTTTGGATCGACCCATCAGGGATGGTGTTGAACAAGTCTTGGGTCGCTCCATCCAGGGTGGACAAGAACGCTCGGCACATGATGGCGTCCCCTGCCCCGATCATTACCATAGCAGCCTTGTACCTCGTCATGTGGACGCGTGGGTCAGTGACCCCCGTGTACTCCTTGATGGCGGGCAACCTAAAGTCCCTCGGCAAAGGTACGTCCATGATGCTTGGGGAGAATGGTGCTGCCATCCGTACCTCGGGTTCCAGCGACTGCTCCCGTGCCTCCACCCTTCTTGCTAACTCCTCGATTCTTCTCTGCAGCCTCTCGACCAGGGCCGACTCATCAGGGTGCCGGCGCGGGGCCGGCTGCCGCTCCTCCAAGTGTCGGTGTGGAGCCCGCTCATCAACGCGTCGCTTCCCTGCCGAGTGCCGTCGCGGAGCCGGCTCTTCGACGCGTCGCTCCTCCAAGTGTCGACGTAAGGCCGACTCATCAACGTGTTGGCGTGGGGTCGGCTCCCGAGACTCGCCCACCTCCTCTGTGGGTGATCTCTCGGCTTCTCTGTTTCGTGTTGGCGAGGACCTCTGGTAGAGGATCCCTCGGCCCGTGGTCCTAATCTTTGCCGCACGGGCGCCCTTTGTCCCAATCGTTCTGGTGCAGATTGGGAAGGGCCTGGTTGTCGTCTGGTCGGTCCACTTCTTTGGGTCTCCACCCTTATTTCCTAGGGCCGCGGCGGGGGCACTTGGCCTTGCAGTCCCACCGCCACCTGATTTAGCGCCGCCGTCACTGCTTGCTGAATGACATCGGCAGTCGCCTGGAGGTTCACGGCTTGGTTCACCCCTCCATTGTTGAGTTGGTCTCGAAGGTCCCCTCCATTGTTGAGTTGGTCTCGAAGGTCCCCTCCATTGTTGAGTTGGTCTCGAAGGTCCCCTCCGCGATTGTTGGTGAGTTGGTCCCGGAGGTCACCTGAGGCATTGCCATTGTTCACGTTGCGGGAACCATGGGAGCTGCGGGACACCATTCTTTCAAGCTTGCTGTTGAAAGAGGAATGAGTTGTGTTGTAGCCTGCTTGAGTATTGGACTCAGGCTCTCAATGAAAGCACCAATGACGGTAATAATGTTACCGGAAATATAATATTAGAATGACATTCCGTGAAAAAGAGAGTAACAATAGTTGTATTGCCTTTGTCTCAGTATAGAAAGTACAGTGTGTCCCCTGCTCAGCTGAGGGAAGTTCTATTTATGCTAGGTCCTAACGGTAACAACATGAAGAGACATCCTTGGGGAGCTGAGCTAACGGCAAGAATATGAAGAGTCATGAATGAGGCGTTGAGGCTTTAACTCTCTCTCATCAATGGTGGCATCAAAGGTGGCTTCAATGACAATAAATGTGACACCTGTTGGATTCTAACCGTTGGAGTTCTGCCCGTTGGGTTCCCATGTGATGCTGAGTCAGATGCTCATTTGTGATCCGGGTCGGGTGCCAGCCCTATTATCCTGTCAGTGGCAATTTATATCGTGCACTACGGCGTACATAGCAATGTGCGTCTAGGCACAAAACGCGCGCGTTTCTTGCTGGCGTCACTCCGTCCGTCCGAACAGACCGAATTTCATTATGTGTATTCAGTTAAGAGTTTATGTGAATTATGTTAACCAAACTCCATTATGTGTATTCGGTTAAAAGTTTATGTGCATTGTGTTATGAGTTTATGTGTATTTAGTTAAGAGTTTATGTGAATTATGTTAAGAGTTTATGTGTATTCTGTTAAGAGTTTATATGTATTATGTTATGACTTTATGTGTATTATGTTAAGAGTTTATGTGTATTATGTTATGAGTTTATGTGTATTATGTTAAGAGTTTATGTGTATTATGTATTATGTATTATGTTAGATTATGTGTATTCTGTTATAAGTTTATGTATATTATGTTATGAATTTATGTGCATTCGAAATAGAGAATTTTTTTTAACAACTTAACAAAACGACGTCGTTTTGGGAAGTAAGGGGTGCACAGAGCTATGTGTGCCGTGGTGCACGGTATAACGATTTTCAAAAGATACACGCGTTTGACAAATTGGCAGCCCAAAATATGTTAATTTTGATCTGTTTATGAGTTAATTCCAATCTATTTTTGAGAATTAATTTTGTAATCATATGTGTTATTTTCATATATATTAATTGGCAAGTTATGGGATTACAATCAAATTTCAAATAAGACTTAAATGCCTTGTTAATGCTAATATATCCATTTTCTCCATAGTGTGGTACTGGCAGATGGTTTAAGAATGCTGAAAAATTATTTTTCTACTCCAAAATTGCTATCTTGATCTCATGTAAATTTCGGCCCACACATTTCTTAAAATTTCCTTGTGCTCTACTTATTGTTCTAGGTCGCTGAAAGCTATATAGTTTGAGTGATCAACTATATTATTGTAAATTTATTTTATCTTAGGAAATTGCCAGTGCAATGATCCTAACACCCTTGAGAGCTAGCGAATCAATTTTAACGAAAGTATATATTACACATGACTTAAATTTTCCTTGCTTCCATACCATTATATTGTTGTCATTGGAATTATTTCTAAAATTTAAATCGATGTTATTTTATTTTTATTTTTAATGAATATCAGAGTTATTCATAACCTACATATTTTTTTTTTTATTTAAATCCAAACAGAAGATTACAATTTATAATTAAAAATGGAAAGCATAACTAAAAGAATTGTTATATCCATTTAGGCAATTGTAATTTTAGGAGGTGTTTTCAATATGAATTTGCATGAATATTTAAAAATCCTCTAAAAAATTTAACGAGCCATTTGGTTGGAGGGAGGGAATTAGGTTGGAAAGGAATTGTAATTCTATGAGAGATGAATAATATGAGAATAAAGTGGTAATTTAAATTCTAGTGTTTGATTTGCAGGAATATAATTAGTGGAAATTTTAATTCCAATGTTTGGTATACATGTGAATTGAAAGAGAATAAGTAGTATCAAGTCCAAAACACCCATACTTATTATTATTATTATTATTATTATTATTATTATTATTATTATTATTATTATTATTATTACTAGTTTTTTTATGCGCTTTGCGCGAATTGAATAATGCCCAATAATTATTTTTAAATAAGTACTTCAAAGTATATCAATGCAATATTATATAGGAGATGTTCATGCATAGATAAATGAATGTTGAATTTGTTTATTTAAATCGGTAATATAAAGGATATAAATGCAAGATAATATATGAAAGATTGATTATAATTGTCACTAAAATAAATGTTTGCAACTCTGTAATAATGTTAGTCTAAATATTTAGTCTAAATAAACACTATTTTTTATTTAAATTTCTCTAATTCGTCATAATTCTCTTTTGGGTAGCATTGTCATTGTCTTCATCTTCAGTACATGTTCTCTCTTTTAAAAAAAAAAAATTATTTGTAGTGTGTCATGTGCAATTGGGTTACTGGTGGTAGCATAGAGGGATTCGTTATACAATGAGATTATGGTGTACGAAGCTTTAGATTTGCCTTGCGGTGTATATGACTGGGATCTTAGTAGTACTATGAACTCTTTATCTTACAAGCATCTATTGATATTTGGTAGTGGGATATCAATATTGTCAATTCTTTGAAAATAGTCTTACTGTTTTAGAGTTCAGGTGTAATTGTATTTAAAATCAACAACTTTATAGTTAGGTCGCGCGGGTCTGACAATGATGTAAGAACAATTTTGTCCAATAAAAAAATAATAGTATAATATTTGTAAAGTAATGTACAATTATACCATTATAAAAATACATACAAAAAATATTAATTAATACCATAATGACCTAAATCATTCCAATAATGCCAAAGCATAATTGAAATATTAAGTTTTTTTTTTTTCTAAATAATCAGAAGAAGATTAATTAAACGAAAAAAAAAAAACTTAACCTTAATTTGTTTTTTTTTTTAATGCAAGAAAATCAAATGATTTTCAAAGTTCCTGATTTATAATCTTTGATACTCAACTTTGAATGCTATGTATTTAGTCGGGCTAATTATTTGACCAAAGTTTATGTTAAATTTTATAGAGTAAATTTCAATTTTGGTCCTGTGACTATAGAGGTTTTGTTAATTGCTATCCACGACTTTTAAAACAGTTAATTTAGTACCTTAAATATTCAATTTTTATCAATTTTGGTCACTCTAGCCAAATTACCGGCAAAAAGTGGCCGAAAAATATTAAAGGGTTAAATAATGAGGCTAATTTTGTCTTTTCACCTTTTTTTTTTCTTTGTTCTCCGATGACGGCATTTCTTCTCTCTAGATTTTCCGGCGGATGAGAGCTAATAGAGTTGTCTATTGAATAGAATAATACAATGTACAGATTACAGGTATATATAAGAAGGAAGTCTCATAGAGACTGGATAGAGAATTATAATCAAACTCAAATACATAGAGTCCTAATACTCCCCCTCAAACACAAGGTACACTGGTGACTTGTAGCTTGTTCCTAAGAAACGAGAACCGAAGATCGGGTAAAGCCATTGTAAAGATATCTGCCAACTGATCTTCGGTTGAAATAAAGTTAACATGTATATCACCATTCGCAACGCTGTCTCTAACAAAATGGTAGTCAATTTCTATATGTTTGGTTCTAGCATGAAAAATTGGGTTTGCACACATATATGTAGCTCAAAGATTATCACACCAAAGCTTGGGAGCGGGCATATCGGTTATGCTGATTTCTCGTAGAAGCGAGAGAGTCCAAATTACTTCGGCACAGACATCTTCTAAAGCTTTATACTCGGCTTCAGTAGATGATCTAGCAACAGTCCGTTGCTTCTTGCATACCCACGATATAAGATTAGAACCAAGAAAAACTGCATACCCACTGGTTGATTTACGATTTTCAGGACAGCCAGCCCAATCAGAATCTGAGAAAGCATGTAATTCTCTGGATACTGATCGCCGAATTCGCAAACTAGAAGTGATAGTTCCCTTTACATACCTTAGAACATGCTTCAATTACCCTCAATGTGAGACTGTAGGCGCATGCATGTGCTGGCACAACTGATTTACTGCAAATGACAAGTCTGGGCGGGTAACTGTAAGATATTGTAAAGCACCTGCCAGACTTTTATAGCGTGTGGCATCGTCATATAAATCAGCATTGGAGATAGTGGGTTTAGAAGCAGTCATAGGAGTGGCTAGAGGTTTACAGTATGTCATGCCAGCACGTTTTAAGATATTTGTCATGTATCTTTGTTGAGAGGGCAAAATTCCATCTTTACACTTGATTGTTTCAATCCCTAGGAAGAAACCAGGTTCACCAAGATCCCTAATCTTGAATGCAGATGATAGAGCAGTTAGAATGGAGCTGATAAGACCTTGATCATTGCCCATTACAAGAATGTCATTAACATAAACAAGAACATAAATGAAACCTGAACACTGTTAGTAGTAAAACCAAGATACATCTGTTTTTGAAGTTTTAAAACCTATTGCCATCAAGAAGGTATATAAGAGATTAAACCAAGCTCTGGGGGCTTGTTTTAATCCATATAGGGAACATATCAACAGACAAACATGATTGGGAAATTGTTTATCAATGTATCCCGGTGGTTGCTTCATATAGACAGTCTCAAATAAAGACCCATTCAAGAAAGCATTATGCACATCAAGTTGTTTGATAACCCAACCAGATGATATAGCCAAAGATAGAAGTAACCTGATAGTAGTCGGTTTGATCACTAGGTTGAAGGTGTCAAAAAAATCTTGATCGGGTACCTAATTCAATCCTTTTGCTACCAATCATGCTTTGTATCGATCGATTGTCCCATCAGCTTTCCTTTTGGTGTGAAAACCCATTTACACCCAATAATATTCATTTTAGACTGAGATGGGACAAGATACCAGGTTTCATTATGAAGGAGCGCATTAAATTCATCATCCATAGTCTTGCGCCATTCATCATGTTTAACAGCATGTGTATAACAAGTAGGTTCAGTGGGGCAAACTTGGGCTGATAGAGCCAAGTGAGGACCATCAGCGTGAATACGAGTGGCCATGGAGTGAGTCCGAACCATGGGGCGCGACAACCGACCTCTCGGCCGGCCACGGCATTGCTGAGCGCTAGCAGGTTCGGTTTTCGCCGAGGGCCCATCCTGGGCCGGTTCTGGGTGGCTAGATTCGCTGCTGGCCGGGACCGGTTCATGCGAGACCGGTTGAGCTGAGACGGATGATGAAGCTGGAACAAGTAAGATTAAACCCATGGTTGAGTCGTTTGAAATGGTGGTGCCTGCAAAACTGTCTTGCCAAAAGGAAAAACATTCTCATCAAACCGAACATGCCTACATATATATACCTTGTTAGTCTGAAGGTTCATGCACCCATACCCCCTAAATGACTTCGGATAGCCTAGGAAGACACATGGAGATGACCTGTAAGACATCTTATGACGATTGTAGGGACGCAAATAAGGATAGCACAGACAACCAAAGACACGAAGAAAATAATAGGATGGAGGGGATTTATGCAATAGAAGATTAGTGCTGGATTTATTTGTCACAGCGGATGGCATTTTATTAATTAAATAAACCGCAGTCTCAATAGCATAATCTCAAAACTTATAAGGAATGGAAGCACAACTTAAGAGAGCTAGACCAGTTTCAACAATGTGTCTATGCTTTCTTTCGGCACGACCATTCTATTCGTGAGTATACGCACATGATTGTCTATGAAGAATGCCTAACTAAGTCAAGGTGGTGTGCAACTTTTTATATTCATCTCCTAGATCATACTAAATGGATTTAATTTTGTGATTGAATGAACGTTAAACCATAGCCCGAAACTTATCAAAGATAGCATAGAGATCATACTTTTGTGACATAGGAAAATACCAAGTGTAACGAGAGTAGTCATCAACAAAGATAACGAAATAACGATGTCCATTAGTAGAAAGAATGGGAGTAGGTCCCCAAATGTCTATGTAAATTAAATCAAGGACACACGAACTAGAGGACTCAACACGCGGTAAGGGAAACCGTGCAGATTTCCCTAACTGACATGCATTACATAGACCAAAAGAACAACGGATATTACTGCTAGACCCACTAATCGAACAAGACGAAAGAATTTGACTAAGAATTCGTTAATGAGGATGACCAAAACGATCATGCCACACAGATGCTGAGGCTCTAGCCGAAAGAAACACAGTTGGTGACGAAATAAGAATGGGAAGCTTGTAAAGCCCCTAGAACTATTACCCCGTAGAAGAAGTTCCTTGGTGTTGATATCCTTCACAAAAAAAAAAAAAAAAAAAAAAAAAAAAAAAAAAAAAAAAAGATGGGTGAAACTCAAAGAACACTTTATTATCTAATGCAAATTTTTGAACAGACAACAGAGATGTAGACAAACTAAGGACATGAAGGATATTAGACAATTGAAATGATCTAGAGGCGGAATTAAAGGTAGAATGACCAATATGACTAATAGGTAATCACATACCATCACCGACACGTAATGTGTCATTACCATTGCAGTCCTCCGAGAAGGAGAGAGTAGTGATGTCCAGAGTGGCATGATTGGTGACACCTGTATCTGGAAGCCAAATGTGGGAACCTTAAGGATCCTTAGCACACCAAAGATGGCATGTGGAAGCAGTATGACCTAACACATGACAAAGTTGACACATGGGTTGCCAGTTGCCGTTGCCGTCCTCCACTAGGGCAACCGCCACCACGCCCGCTGCCGCCACCACCACCATGCAGCTGGCCGGTTTGGCCGCTGTTCTGGCCGGAACCACGGCCACCGTTATTGTGCCCGGAACCGTGGCCCTTTTGTGCCGTGAAAGCGGTCAGTAAGCCACCTCCGGGACCACTGCGCGTCATAAATTCCTCCGCGCCCAAGAGATCCACAAGCTCTTGGAGAGTAATAGGTTGACCGCGTACGTTGAGAGATGATACGAGACCCTTAAACTCTGGCCGTAACTGCCAAAG